ATATCACGAACCGGAGAGGCTCAGTTATGCCAGTGAAGTGTAAGGTTCATTTAGGCTGAAGGTCACTTCAGGCTAAATCTGAGAAAATACGTAACATTTTTAGCAGAATTTTCACATTATGGCGACATCACCGTCGTGCACGGAGATCATGCATGCAATATCACATACGATCGAGATCAACAGAGGTTATTGAATGGCCCCAGGTGACCTTGAGAGCGCACTTTGACATGGTTTGAATTTCACCGGATCTGTTCAGCGGACGTATAAAAAAGTTACTAAAGACGGCAAAGAACGTAAGTTGACCTTGTTTGACCCAAGCTGACAGGTGAATTGTTGAATTTTCATTTCATTTTATTTATTTTGATTGAAAGCGCATCCACGTGGTGGTTGTTCTGCGCCTGGTGGTGCAAGAAAACACCGTACATAGACACGCACACATATGCATTACACATACATTCACGCATTCCGGAAACTAATGCCTTGGCAGCCACTACTGATAGGTTTTGGAAGTTTTCCACAACTTGAAGTGCACTTACATGGAAATTGTGCTGTCTGAATTACTGGTATTGACATGCAAGCTGTTTGACGGGACATGCTTCTCCTGCATCATCGCGGCATAACCAGGATTCTACCTCTCTTTTTCGATTCGCATGAAAAGCGAAAAATCGTTAGCTTGCTGAAAAACTGAAGAAAAAAACGTGAAGAAAAACTGGGCTCAGTCTCGATCTTAGCGACATTTTGCCGCAGCGATTTGATTACAGGTTTTGGCGAGAGGAAAACGGACAATCGCACTGACCGACGTCTCCGGACCGGTGCGTGCGGGCGGTCATGCGATCTCATGCGCAAGCGATAGGTCCTTCCCACCTTCCATAAGGATGGATGTCGTTTGTCGGCAGCCAGAACAGATGAGAACATGCCATCCGCGCTATCCGCGCTGCGTATGCAAATGTACCCAAACAATTTAAGAACGCGTCTCAAAATTGTTTGACCTGCAGGTGCGCTAGGAATCCATCGGAAAGAAACTGAAATCGCTTACCAAGACTAGGCTCACAGCCAGCCGTTATCTGTTAATGTTATTCGTGAATTGGCCGCGTGTCACAAGATGCACAAGGCGCCTTACTGGTGCTACTTCCGCGAAATGAGGCGCTATTGATTCCAGCCATGAATGAGGGCACGTGGTGGAATTAATCCGTGGATTAATTGAATTCAGATACACGGAACTAATCAGAACTCGCAGACTCGCGCTCCGAGTTCCTGTTGCGAAGGAATGTGTCGGCAGGTTCCAAAATCGCACACCAACTGCCCCTCGAATTTACGTTACGTGATCACGCGTTAATTGCGTAACGGGGGAGGGGGCCATGCTGAGCCGCTATCGCCCGTTACCAAGGAGCGGGGAGCATCCCGCCCCGTGGAGCAAAGCACCGCTTACGGCTACGCTTACGGATACTCTTGTGGCTTACAGATGGTCTAACTCGTGCGAATTACCGTGCCATTCTTTCTAGTTGTCTCAAACCATATGCACGCAGTGAGAAAAGGGTAGGTGTGCCCAAGAAAATAAAGCTAGGGCGCAGACAAGGTGCACAGTATGGTGTATTTGGCGCCCAGGCCAGTGGGTGGTGGCCGTCACATCGACCACATTTCTCCCGTTCTGGAAGCCCTCGGCTGGCGTGGTGTCGTGAGCATGTGCACCACCGGGTCTGCAGGATTGTGTGCAGGGCACTGCACATCCCCGAATACTCGAATGCGGCGCATGCTGTATTCGTGACGCACGCAGTCTTCCCAACGTCCAACCCGGGCTGTTTCGGGCGGCGCCGGCTGATCACATCTGTCGCGTGCCGACTGACCACCATCCAGCGGCAGTCGCCGTTCCGCGCCACCCGTCTGAGGCGGCTGTCCGCGCTCCCGCGCACTGAGCATTTGACTTTTAAGCTGCTGACTCATTGACCGAAACTGCTTTTACCTGCGGGCAGGCAGAGCGCCACGTATATACTTTTTGTCATCCCGTAATTTTCGGAAGATCCCGCAAGTGATGGCAGCTCTCATCTGTATCCATGGCCAGAAACAATTAAGCAGTCATGAGGTCCGTCCATTAGCAACAACGTCCTGCCGTAATGTTCGGGAGGGTGCCCCAGTTATGGACGGCTCGGATATGGTCGCGAATGATCGCGTGACAAACAGCCTCCAGCCAACCATCGTGAATGCGAGGAGGTCTGCCGTAACCTGTGGCCGAAAACGTCGGAAGGCCCCGCATAGCCGGTGTAATCCACAGACCAGTACCGAAGACGGCTTAGTCACACAGGCGGGTTGGATGGTTTTAAGTCGCCGTTCAACAGATGGAAGGCCCCGCATAGCCGGCGCAATCTACAAGCCAGTACAGAAGACAGCTTAGTCACACAGGCGAGTTGGATGGTTTTAAGTCGCCGTTCAACATATTTTTTAAAGATTTGATCCGAACCCTTTGAATGGATGGATTTCCGGGATCAGAGCTCACGCTAAGCAGTGCTTGTTGTGTGAGCCATGACCCCTACCATCCGATCGCGCAGTTCCATGTCAACGGCAGAATTTGGTGGCGAAAGCTTAACGTGCCGAGATGCTCGGCACGGTCCGTCTTGCCCTCTGACGTCAACTCACCTTTAGCGCGACCGCTGCCACCGGCCCCAGGCCGTACCTGTCAAGTGCAAATAGCGAGCGCCCTAAAGCGACTCGAACCCCACCCGCCACGGGTGGGTGCATCGGAATGCAGGCGCTGTAACCAACTGAGCCACCGGGACAGATAAATGACCCGTGTTCCAACTAAAAGGTCATATTTACTTGCAAAAGGGGACCTATGTCATGGCCAAGAGACGGCCCGAGACATGGTGGGTGGTTTAGGCTCGCGGCACGATAGAAAGCCCCTGTCGTGACCCGACAGGAGGCCCCTGTCGTGACTCGTGGGGGAGGCCCGTCATGCACCGAGAGGAGACCCTGTTATGACCCGACAGAAGGCCCCTGCCAAGATCCGAAAGGAGGCCCCTGTCACGAATGATAGGAGACACTAGAAATATTGACTGGCTATGTCCGCGGTACGACAGAAGGCCCTCGTCACCACTACGTAGTGAGGCAGGAGGCCTTCTGTGCAACTATTCCCTTCATGACCAGGGAAATGCCTTCGTCACGAGTGAGTGGAGCACTTGTCCTAATCGCGGGGAGGCCTCAGTCAGGGGGATTAGGGATTCAGGCGTATTGAATGACTTTGAGATACAAGGACGCCGACATTGTACTGAATTGTATGGTCTGATATGCTTGAACTATTAACCACAAAAGGTTCATTTCAAAACAGTTGGCTATCAGTCACGAGCTCTAACAGTTGCTTTGCCTATCGAAGCATGTAACAAGCTTCCCCATCGTGGGTGTTTCTACAAAGTGTATGCAAACATAAATTCTGTCCTGGCATTACCAAACATTGATAGTTACAGTCCAGGCCATAACACATTGGGAGAGCCCTGCGGCCTTAGCCTGAGGACGACTGTTTCGCACTAGAAGCACATCGCAGATCCAGCCGCTTATCGCAGTTTCTATATCAATCGAACAGGAAAGGTGGAATCGCGTTTATTTCGCAGCCTGAATACCGGGTTCAATGAAAACCCTCCATCCCAGAAAGTCAGTAGTACCGTCAGTGTTTTCGCATACTGATGCTGAATTATCCCACCTATTCCACCCCGTTTGGTGAATAAGTAAATGCATACTGCCACGTACAGCAATAACGTACAACTGCCACGTAAATGCCACGTACAACAAAAACAACATCCGAGAACATGGACAACTGAGTAATGCACAACTGATGCCGTGCGTTAACGGCGCCGCAGAAGCCGACGTTCCGCGCCTGCGGATTTTCCCACGCCCCGGTGACCCCGAAAATGACTGCCAACGAGCCAGCACTTGCCGCATCCATCAGTCTGCCAAACCAGGAGCGTTTTCATCAGTCAGGCAGACGCCTCCTGCGCTGCTGGCCAGAGGGGAGTAACAAGGTGCCGTCGCTGAACAGGAAGCTCCGTCTGTGATGGTCATGTGCTCAGACCGACGGCTCTGGAGACAACTGGCGTGTCACAGCAACATTGCGACATGATAGGGACGGCGTCCCGCGAGACATGGGCGCTCGTAGGTCCTGACCTTGACGGCGGGCACGTCACAGCGACACTGCGACAGACAGGGACAGCGTCCGGCGAGACATGGGCGCTCGTAGGTCCTGGCCTTGACGGTGGGCGCGTCACAGCGACACTGCGACATGATAGGGACGGCGTCCGGCGAGACATGGGCGCTCGTAGGTCCTGACCTTGACGGCGGGGAGAGGAAACCGCAAACGACAACGGACGTCACCATCGTCATCAGTCAAAGACGACGACGTTACCGGGCTGTCACGACTTAAGTTTACGCCAGTCAGTCATCCGCGTTACACGCGATCCAACCTGCACCGCGAAGCCGGCTGATCAACCGAAACCCGACCGCCGCATACAGCCGGCCGCTTCGGTCTAGCTCCCGCGCCGCGGTGCTCCGGTGAAGGTGACGTCATAGGCAGCCTGAAGCTCGCGCCACTGTTTTCATAATACTGGACTCCCAGCGTTTGGCCTCCGCCTTCTTATGCATGCATGTACCAGCATCGTCACCGCGGTAAGATCGGTACAAATGACTGGTTCTATCGCTAGCGGAATACAGCACACCCGCGGAGCAGCAGCCCATGACCGTCCGCTACTCAGTCAGGATAACGCCACATTCATCAGAAAACGCTCCCTGGCTTCACACTGGCCATATGCAGGCAATCTCAGTTTGCCAGCATCAGATCAACCAGCTGTGCTTCGGGGAAGTGGCTGACCTTCAAAGGTCACGTGCGTGCTCACAGATGACTTCCGCCAAGTGTTCCGAGTTCGTGAAGTCTGGTTTAAGGCGAATTAAAACTGAGCCGATCCGTGATTCTTCAGTGTAGGCACAGTCACCACGCTTGAGTGGCGCAAATGAGCACATAATTCTACAAACAGCAGCCTTTATTTCAGTCACATCACACAGCTCTCTTACGCAGCAGGTGGCTATGTTCCGGGCACTCAAAACTCAAGCGTGCACGGATTCTCCGACCACAACAAACAAGCTCTAAATGACTCAACAACGCATCCATGCGGGTGTTCTCCGACTGGTGGCGACGGTCGCCGGCTGCCCAGTCCACAGGCTGGCGGAGCGTCTCCCGCGGCTGTCCCGGGCCGTCCAGCGGCCCGCCAGCACAGCCGTGCGCCCCGACCAGCGCAGACCACGGAGATCTGGCGCCAGGCGCGAGGCGGCAGCTAGTAGCCCTTCCGGCCGCGGAACCTCTGCCGCGCGTCCAACTGCGGGGTGAGAGGCACGTGACAGACGACAACTGGGAAAACCGAGGGACACGTGGCAAACGCCAACTGGGAGGGCCGACAGACAAATGACAGAGACCAACTGGGAGGGCGACAGACACGTGGCAGACGCCAACTGGAAGACCCGAGAGACGCGTGGCAGACACCAACTGGGAGGGCCGACAGACGCGTGACAGAGACCAACTAGAAGAGCCGACAGACACGTGACAGAGACCAACTGGGAGAGCCCACAGACACGTGACAGACGCCAACTGAAAGACCCGAGAGACGCGTGACAGACGCCAACTGGGGGGCCGACAGACACATGACAGAGACCAACTGGGAGCCCACAGACACGTGACAGACGCCAAGGGAGAGAGCCGAGAGACGCGTGACAGACGTCGAGACAGCCGACAGACATGCGCATACACAGCCTTAAACTGGAGATGCAAGCCCTCGGTACGGCAGCACCGACAGCTGGTGCTCGGCGGTTTACGCCGCTGTCTGGAGTGGAATCCTGACGGCACCGGGCAGCATTGGCCAGTGCTGAATGAATGCATCCCGTACCAGTACAGGCGCCCTGCCGGTGCACGACATCCGGACTCGTGCCGGCATCGCGCTTACAAAATGTTGCATGCTCAAACCTCACGTTCAGGTTCTACAGCATGCACCGAATTAATTCATTAAGACAGCGAAGGAATAGGTAGGGGGGATGGGTGGAGGGGATGGGTGGAGGGGATGGTTCGAGGCGGCCGGCTCAGGGCGTCCGTGTTCCCAGAAGAGGTCGGTGCCACGCCACGGGATCGCGACACGCCGCCGTGACGGCCCGCCACCCGGCACAAACATGCCGTGTGGACGACGGCGGCTCGTAATGAGAACACAATGCCGCCCTGTTGGCAGTGCGAGTCGATGGCGGGAACTAACCAACCGGTGACGCACGGAGCGCCGCTGACCGCAGCCGAGCAGGCCCAGCGAGCAGTAGCGGCAGTTCCCGCTCGGGAAAACGGTGCCTTCCGCGGCACACAGTCCCCGTGAGGCTGCCGATCGTAAAGCAAGAACGGCACGCGTAAAACAAATGGCGAGAAAACGTAGCGCCGAAACCCTTCGATACCAGCAATGAAGAGTTCGGGTCTTCCCCGCATGTCCTTCCCTCGCTGGACTCATTTTGGACAGCGGCGCGCCTCCTCGCGGCCAAGTCTATAGTCAGAAGGCGGGACTCCGTACATCAACGCGCACCGCCGGCCCACCCGCCCCCGGCTATTAACAATCAACGCGTCCACCGGAGCGGCCGCTCGCAGCAGGGCCGGATTAGAGGCACAGCGGGAGCAGTCCGCCGAGCCTTCGAGGCGGTCGCCACGCAGCTCATCACCAATACACGTTTATGGAAACAGACTGGTTGTTAATGCACAAGGTGACTGGGCCAGGTCACGACGGTGGGTTTATGAACACAGCCATGTTTTATTGCACCGCCGTGTGTCTGGTAGTTAGGGCATCCTGGACAAAACAACGATCGACTTGCTCTAGCAATGGATAGGGCCTGGCCACCAAACATGGCGGTATCTAGGGATAAACGGCAGGTCGGAATGCAAGTGCTTAACTATTCACGGTTTTGATTGTGTGCCCTTGTTTACACGTTCGTTCGTGCCGCAGCAAAACTTCGGAACACGAAACACCCCAGCCAATCAAGAGAAGCACGCCATGCGCGCGGTGAGTGGTCGGAAAGCAGGACTGAGCAGGGCCTTGGTCCTAGGGCCTTGAGCAGAGCCAGGCAAAGGACGCGCCGAGCCGGGAAGGCCGGTCCAGCGTCGGCGGTCTTCCCCGAGTCTCGACCAACACCGTCAATCATGAATTATTAGCCAAACATGACCGTGAGAAGAATAGTGGCGATGAAGCATGGCAGTAACTGCTACGAATGCTACTAGCTGTGCTCAGTGACATTAAGTAAGTAAGGCATCAGTAGTTGCCGCATTTACTACATGCGACCTCTGTCCATGAACCTGCGAATACGAATGCACCCCGCCCTGTATTTTACTATCTTAAGCAACTTCCGCCATCACTTCCAGGCTATTCGGGCAGCTCCTTCGTTACCTTTGCTCGAGCCATTTATCGCTAGTTGAGGGCGAGTGCGGAACGAACGGCAAAAAAACAAAACAAAAACAAAAACGCTTACATATGTCTTACGTATTAAAACAGGTTTGTCGCCCCAAACGTGCATGTTGATCATCACATTTAAGGCATTACACGCCACTCGGAGCGAAAGCACCACATTTGTCAAGCTACATCACTTTTGTTACTTTATCCAACACGAGCCCCAGCTTTGATTTCATACGCAAAATTCGCATGCCAGAACGGTAACTGGACAAAAAGTCCGGAACACAGATCAAGTGTAAGGCACGAACAACATGTAGTAAAGTTAGATAGCAATCTTCATGTGGAAGTTCTTATTATGGATCAGGGTGTCCTTTTTGGGTAAGTAAGCACTTTGCTGGATTGTAAAGCGCCCTCATTCATAAGGAATCTCGTGATTGTTACATCTCTGGCATGGCCTGTAGCCGTCATTGGCCACCTTTAACCTGCACTGCTATGTGGAAGCTTATCTCCATAGCCCAAATTTTGTACTTAGTTATTCTTCTCAAATCGGACTTTTCTGTTGTTTTAGAATGATGTCTGCTGGACTGCCATGTGGTATTTTTGGTTTTACAATGTCTGGTGGACTACCATGAGGTGTTTTTTTGGGAACTCATCTAAGTAGCCTTCATTTTTGAAACATGCCAAAAACAGCCAAGTAGTGTTTTTTTTAATCGATATCCTGTTCTGCCGTTGTCTATTTGGTCCCTATCCATTTTGACTTTTTGAGTACAGTACTTGCCGTTTTGCATTCGAATTTTCTCCTTTTGACTTTTTGTCCCTCAACTTTTGTCTCTGAATCTTTGTCATGGAGTCTGCCAGGAGCTTTCAATGAATTTTTTAAAGGTCATGATTTAAACATACAAATAAATGTATAATATACTGTCTACTTACGGTTGTCGACTTGTATTGTTATAAAGGCCCTGGCCCCCAATGTTCAGTTAGAGCCCCTAATGTTGGCTTGAGCCCCCGCCTTTTTGACCGAAATATTGCAAAAGCGTAGGAAAAAGCTGATCACGTAAAGACTATCTTCTTTGATTCTTAATCATAGTTACGTTGCCATGGAGAGTGCAGCGGGGTAAGTTGACCCTGCAACGTCAAAATTGTTTCCCCAAGTGAGGGACACCTTTGCACGTTGGATGCAAACCATTTACATCATAGGATTTTGTTTTGTTTTATCCTTCACACGTAAGCCGAGACGCCTTTTGCCCCCGCCCCACCCCACACACCCAGGCATGATCTTGACGCAGCTGATTCACCAATCTTGCAAACTCTTTTATACCAAGCGACACGTGATTTGTCCCATGGTGGGCTACGAACCTTAGATTGTTTTACTTGGAGCCGGGACCCGAGTTGCTTCGTTATAACGTCCCGTACGAAAACAAATTAAGAAAACACAGATCCAGTTCAGCTACAAAATGAGAAAAAATACGGGAAACGAAAATTCTGCTGAGACGGACTTTTATTCTGATTCCATGCTTAACATAATTTACTGCTAGCCCTCCGAACCGCGCGCCATTGGGGGTTTGAGAAGCACTCGGCTGCTGATGCCATACGGCATCGCCTACCTTTCAGCCTGACAACAAAGATGGGCACAGCAGGTAAGCGTCATTGGAGCTTTAAGAAACATTCAGCTGCTAATGGTTTTCGGCATCGCCTGTCTTTCACCCAGGCAAGAAGAACGGGCACCGCAGGCAATTGAACCCCGTAACTCTGGTTTCCCAGACGCACGGCTTAACCAACACACTAGCGGCACCCCATCACTCCGAAGCAACCATCCCATTACTAAAATGCATGTTCAACAAATCCATTAGGCCTCGCTCCCTTATCCTAACACGCAAGGACCTTGACCGTGCCATGCGACAACACGACGGTCGGCCGCCCTGTAACCAAGCTGACGCTATCAAGCCGACGGCCAAACGGCCCTCTGACCAGCTACATACGGGAACTTACTGTGGAATTTGAACCGACTTCCAGGCTTTTCACCACAATACGACTGCGGTCAGTATAATCTCAGCGCTTTGCCAAGGTAGGGCTTCTACCGATGATTGGGTGTCTGCGCGCCAATATACGTTCTTTTTGCGAACATTTTTTCGCATTGCAGCCAACAAGTTCGGAGAAAGGCCATGTCTGATAACTGCTCATTCACTAGCTATTTTTGTTAAGAGCTATTGCGTGTGGCTTTGACAGCAGTCACACATGGAAAACGCGGATAAATGCATGCCACCATTAACTGAAAGTGGTATTATTTGTGACATTTCTCACGCTTTTCGGGACAATATTAGGGACAAATTTCGAGAATATATTAGGGCTTCAGCTCAATCTGGAATCCTGTGGCCAATTTGTTTCAATATTTTATCTGTGCTCGTTTACCATTGTAAGGAATTTAACGATTCGGGGTTAACTCAAACTCTCCGACTGCAAGGGTGTACCGCCGTGTGGAGCAGATAATGATGCGATTTAATAACGCGCAGTCTTACGCATCCAAGTCAAACTTATTTCTGGGGGTCATGTACCCCTTTGTTATGCTGATGAAAAGCCAGCCCACATCAAATGAAAACCGCTTACACCATATGACATATATACATTGAGCGGAAATTTACACGCATCTCAGGCAAAAATAAATAGTCATAAAAATGCATATAGCGATCCTATACATACAACAAGCACTTGTTGAACATAATTGAGTATTGTTGAGTTATGCTCATTATGATTATGTTGTTGAACATAATTGTTGATGCCACGAAGTTGAACTGAAAAATGTGTTACGGCGCCAAATTCAGACCAACATTTTCGCACACCGCAAGCGTGCAACGCAAAAATCACAACTTTAGTAAAGCAGCACTGTTTTACACGAGAGGGCTGTGGCCTGCATCCAAGGAAAAATACATGAGTACAATACATACAATACAAACAATGAGTGGGTTATGTAAATTGGCCAAACGGATTAGCCCCGAAGCCCGTAACTGGGTCCGCTAATGTAACCAGATGTTCGCCGCCTTATAGACACAAAACACTTATCTTTGTCGTGCAGAGCAGTTCACCTACTGATACTAGAGCACCCCCTCCTCTGACAATAAAAAGTCGCGTTTGCTCTCACCGCTAGGTTAAAATCTCGCTACTGAACAGGTAAACGATGCAATCAAATTTACATATCTAGCGCCCTGAGACGCACAAAGGTCCGAGAGTTTAAAATGAAAAGCTCCGGAGTATGGGAATGTCTAGTCCTTCGTGGCTAACCTTGCCTCCGTCCCGACAACAAAAAACACGTGTCGCCGCCCATGATCACCGTAGAAGTGCCTTCAGTGCCTCAGTACGACCTCTAGAGGGGCGCCTCTCTTTTCTGATCAGACGGGGTACGTGCCTCCGGTGCCCCCATCCCCTCCATATCTTTCTCTGCGTGACTCCTATGTCTCTGGCAGTTTAATTATTGAAACATTAGGAGATAACTTACCTTTTGTCACAAAAAACTGCGCTAAATCCGTTTGACACAAAAATGGGGGAAGGGGTAGGTGGTCGGACCCTCGGTTCGGCCTCCTTCCGGTGATCTACAAAACTGACACCCCATGTCTGTGCCCACATTTCCTTCAGAGAAACAGAGTGCACGACGCATACGTCCGTTCTCCACCAGTCGTCCTTCGTTTCGTCGCATGATGATAGCTACTTCAACATTTCGCCGCGCACATTACAATCTATTCTAATCTCGCCATTTCGCCGCTAGCATTGCAATCTACTCGACTCTATCTAGATTGGAATCCAAACCAACCAAACACAGAGACTATCACAAAATGCTACGGATGCTCCAATCTAGTGGCTAATATGCCAATGAAATGGGCAATTTCACGCATTAACAATCTAAAGAGCACCATTTCACCACAACTGTAAATCCTTCATTCGTGTTTCAAAGGCGTACTAATAGATAATTTCGCTGCATTAGCCTATGGTCCCTGCAAGGCTTGCCAACCATAACGTCCCAGTCAAAACATGAAAACCGGCAGTCAAAAGTACCACTGGTTCTGGTAATACGTAATACTAAAAACTACGACGCGTCTGGCAACTTTGACGTTCCCCTATGGAATCACCAGGAAACAGACATCTATCCCAATAAAACAACAAACACCCATAACGTTTTGATGTGACATTCTAGGGCCCATTTTAAACACATGCACGCACACACACGCACCACAAATCCCACAGCGAAGTCTGCTGCGTGCTGGCGACTGCAGCGCCATCTATACAGGAAACCGCAAACGGCCCGGCCCCAGGAAACAGCAGAGCCGGCACCCAGCGGTGGTGCCGGCCCAGTAAATGGCCAACACGCCCAGTAAGCGGCCAACACGCCTGACATCGCAGTACCCACACTCTTCAAATACCATAACCACGGTTCATGCCCAAAATTATGACAGTCAGTACATATAAGCCATCAGCTGGTCGTTTCACGCGCGGCCGGCGCGGTTTGGCGGAAGGAAGGTGGTAAGCGTGCCTCACTCTTCAGGCGGCGCAGCTGAGCTGCCAACTGAACAGATACCTGAACGACTTCAGGCAATAAGGACAGCTAATGAAAACATGCCAACAATCAGCTCATCTTTAGATACCATGAGGAGCACTGACAAACACAGGGCACTTGTGATATAAGTGATATAATAATAATAAAGTTTATGACAATCTGAGCAGTTATTTGCAATAGTCAAAAAATAAATATGTTCAACTACTGTTACATTTATCCAACTGGTCCTGATCAAAACATCAAATGTATTACAGCAGACAGCTTTGGGTGTCTGTTTCCCACTGACTGCTATCCAGGTAGGGAAGTTCACAAACATTATCAAACTTCTCCCACGCTCTTTTGAAGACTCCGATACATTTGCAAAACACACCCCACATGGTGCCAAGTGAGGCAGGCTGTCACTGTGCCTGATCTATCCAGAGCTGCTACTTACCAATGACCTTTTGCATTCAAAGAAGGACCACTTGAGTTGAAGACACTCATCAGGAACAGTGTGGTCTGGATGAGTTAGACAGTCCTTTGGTAATCTGCCACCCTGGAGCAAAGCCACCATTGGTACCCAACACAGTGATCAAAACATCAAGTTGCATTGCTGGCAAAAGCAAAACAAGTGTTTAAAAGCAGCTTCCTTGACATAGGTTGAACAGAGTACTACCTACAATATGTCAGACAATATTTGGATAGCAATGAGTACACTGACAAGTAATTTTAATGGAATATTTATGCAACACTATATAACAGTTCATGACATACATGCCATCAGTGAGCTATCCTAGTAATTTCACACCTTAATGTGTCAACATCCCCACAGCTAACCTTCACACACTGACTCTCCAGAATGCATGTCTTCAGCTCCTCCCTCAATCCTGAGCATGGTGTGGTCTGTTTTGCAATTGGCTCATCGTCAACATCATACTTTTGGGGCATTATTCCTTAAATTATCTGGAAATGAAGACCCACTGAAATGGGAAGGGCATACATCAAAAGCTTGAGAGCAGCACAATAACTGATTGTCCAACAATCACCTGGCCTTCAGGCCACAGCAGTACAATTTAAGTACATGACAGGCAGCTGAGTGATGTTTCATGTGCAGTTCAAGCCAAGAACAAACTTTTGTAGTCATCATCAACATTTCCCCTTGAGTCTATTTTAAGCGTGTATGATTGCACGTCATGGGGGGGTGTTCATTACGCGCTCCCGGCGTATGGCTTCGCACCTCTCAACATGTAACGAATCAACCGAGTCCAGTAAGCAGATCACACCCCATCTGCATAAAACATGGCCCAGGATTCATGCGTTCCTCTGGCCCCCTGCTTTACCTGTCTGTGCCATACAATGCTAATAGTAAATACCCCCCTCGACCAAACCGCTCACCCACTAAGACCGTATGTATTACCGACGCCAGTTGCGGCGCGACTCTCAGCTGATCATGCTGCACTGGTGAGTTTCTTTAACACTTTCAGCTGATCGCAAGAAACGTCACAAGACCATTATAAACTACCAGCCGGGTGACGAGCTCCTGAATGAAAGTTTCGAGCCGTTAGCTAATTTTTATACCACTACAGTAATAAAATAAGAGCCTAAATATTGTGGTGTGTGTGAAGTAGCTCATTCGGAAGCCCACTCTGACTTCTTGCAAGGGGGTCTTCAAGCCAATCTAAACAGTACGTGAGGTTCAGTCACAATCGGCCGTCTTCGTGATATGAGCCGCTCAAGTGACAGAGAAGGTTCAGCACCTATCCTTCTGTTGCGTAGCTGCAGCTTCCTCGGTCTTGTAGCCGGCATTGGAGAACGATGCAGGCTTGACAGAAATGAGCTTAGTTTATTCTATTTGTCTCCCAATCAATTCCACGCACCCAAGCATATCAGTGACTTGTGTTTGTCACTTTGACTGCATGAAAGGCAGTTTAAAACTGTAGCTGCTTAGTTTAGTATACTCTTACTTGGCTGACAAATACTTTGTGGTTTTATGACGTCACTGCACTTGAAAATGTTTTTGGCCTCCACTACCGTTGCATACATCTAGCAACCGCTGAGCAAATATGTTGGCGTCCCTTGATTCGAAAGGGGGGCCTGACCGAGGGGCCTGGCTGTTGTCAGCGAAGAGTATTTACTGTTAATACGTTGCACAGAGGACAAGGAAGGTAAGTGGTGAGAAAGACGTGGTACAATAAGTGGCAGTGCCTTTGCTGCTGTATGTTTTTTTACTAGATTCATTTGATTTCGGATTGTTTGAACTTGCATGGGTACGCGGCCTGTAACCGTAATGCCAGCATACGGACATACCAGTAGCTAACTCAGGTCTACTATTCTGGAGATGAGGAGTGGGAGAGGAAGATACAAAGAGAATTTGATCCCATGTCTTGTGTAATGTTATAAGTGATAATTTTCAGGCATGATCGGGGTCTGCTTCCTGTAACTTGCTAATTATCACTTGACTTTGTAATGTCATTGTCACTTGACTTGTGATCATGAAATTGCTCAAAATATAAGGTCTTTATTCAAGTTAGTCATGTCTTGCAAACAAGCTTTGGTGTTTAAATATCAATGAAGTGCCTTGGTAAACTGCTAGATTTTGGTAGCATATTATTAATATTATACAAGATTATGATCTGCAGAGCTCAAACTAAAACCAAATGGCTTGGAGATGACATGCAAATAAAATTAAAATTTATCTTCCCAGATGTCAAGTGTGATTTCAGTGTTGTTTTAACACCATGTGTTCCAGATATGACGGCCATTGTGCCACCCGGCGAGGGAAACATCATCCGCCGGTCAGTGTACCAGAACTCTAACACACTGGTTGAGGTGCTCATCAAGTCGAAGGCACCACGGCAGCGTGGTGCCGGCCTGCGCCCATCAGCCGCCACTGAGCCGGCCTGGCCCGCAGCCATTCCGGTCCGTAAGGACGGCCGGCCGCTGTCAATGAAGCTGCCCAGCCGGCCGCACACCGGCCGCCAGCTGCCCAGCTGGCAGCCGGTGCTGGAGCCGGTGGACGGCCGCCAGCTGCGGACCGGCTCGCCCGAGGCGCCAGCGGCCCGGGCCGCACAGGCCGGGCGCGGCCGCGGCGGCCCGCCGGCGCCGCCGGCGCGCGGTCCGACGAGGGGCTGGGGCCAGGCGCCGGCGCCGCCGCCCGAGCGCAGGACGACGGCCCGGCTGCCGACGGGCCGCGCCTCCCCGGAGCAGCCCGTGCCGCCGGCCGAACCCGCTCGCCAGGTGACGCCGGATGAGTTCAGGACGTGGACTCAAAACCTCAACCGGCTGTGCAGGAGATCAAGAAACGCCCTGGTATGTGTGACTGCCAGCTCTCGGCTTGATTTTTTTGGGGCGCGTGTTTTTATACCAATCTCTGACTTCGCGCAGTAACATGGCCAGCAAGTAATTTTGAGATGTGGGAGGTGCTGAGACACTTTGTGTGGTTTCACCTGCAACTCAGCATCGAGTACTGTTTCGTCTTCCCCGCATCACACAGCTCTGTGTGCTACCTGTCTTATTACATATATCCACTGCTCCACACTTCTAACATTCCGCAAGCTCTTTCACGCCTTGATGAGTGCGGCTGCCTTGGCTGGATGGTGGCGCGCTGCTGCGCCACATCACTCTCGGACGGCTGACGTGGCAGCGTCTAAGCTGTGGGCTGGCGACGGTGCTCGCCTGGTCCGCCCGCTGACGCGTCCGGTCTGACCCGGCATCTCTCACCTGGTCCGCTCGCTGACGCGTCCGGTCTGACCCGGTAGCGATCGCGCACCTTCGGCCGCTGCTGAGCCGGTTGGAGGAGACGGTGCGGCTGCCGCCGGTGCCAGCCTCCGCCTCTGACGCCAGCGACGACGGCCTGCTACGCCGCCGGCTCGAGGAGATCCAGGAGGAGAACGAGGAGCTGCAGAGGTGACGCCGACGGAACGGGAGCGCTGCTCGTGCGCGGTCCCAGGGACCCCTGAACCGGTGGGGTCCGCTCGAAGGCAGAAATAGCTGTTTCTGTGGGCATTGGATGTGCAGTGTATACCCAGTAGGGGATACTAATATACATAAATAATGCTGGAATTACTTGCAAAGCTGCTAGCGTATTTTGTTTTCCTGACGCCAATTGAAATACGACATCCTTCGCTCATTTGGATTGGAGCAGGCATTGTTCAAGTCTTGCAAACTGGTGTAACTATGTGTGAGATGACCCTAGAGCTTTATGCACGACTCCCTCGTGGTGGCCAGCTGACACGGCTGGCCCAGCCGGCCCTTCCGAGGCGCGTTCTGCGCTCGGTCCGCCGCGCCACTGACGGCTGGCCCCCGGGACCAGGAAGTTTCAGACGCTGAGCGCCTCCATGCGGGAGTACCGGCAAACGCTGGGCCAGGCGCAGCGAGACGCCGGCCAGGCGCAGCCGGACGGCGACGCGGCGGCCGAGGTGCGCTCGGCAGAGCTGGCCGACGTGCGGCATCAGCTGGCCAAGTATAAGAAGTATGCCAAGGAGCTGAAAAAGACCAAGGAGAACCTGCTCTCCACTGTACAGGTGGGTCGCTGGCTGACCGAGAAGGCTTGCAGTTAGCTTACTTATGATATTGGGAGCAGTTGGTGTCCCTGCTGTCATGGATGTATGTGTATTGATGAGGGAAACAGTGACTTGTCTTTCCCTTGCTCTAAGCATGAGTATAGATTGCTCTGAGCATGAGCATGGATATGTGGTCATGGACTAATCAGTTCTTCAGTGCACGTTGTACCAATCAAGTCAATTGGACAGTCGCTTTCCACCATTCCTGACTTTCAAAATTTGTGGGGCTTTCAAAGGTCGCCCCCTCGTGGCCAGATGTGGGGAAAATATTACTGGTCTGATGAGTGCCTGCCATTGGCCGCTTATTTAAGAATTGGTGTTAATGTGAAGCCATATATAGTTTGCAGATAGACGTAATAATTCTATCCCTCTGGCAGAAACAACTCGGTTGGCTACTGCCCCTGACATTTGTAGGATGTCCTTCGCTCAGCAGGCGAAGGAGTCGCGAATCTCCAGTTAGTAGGGAGCCTCTGTCGGCGTTTTGCGGTGGAGCGCCTGGCTGTCCGCCTGATGGACGTCTGATGTCCTGCCTGATGAGACGCCCTGACTGTCCACCTGATAGGACGCCTGACTGTCTGCCTGATGAGACGCCTGACTGTCCGCCTGATAGGACGCCTGGGTGTCTGCCTGATAGGGCGCCTGGCTGTCCGCCTGATTGGGCGCCTGGCTGTCCACCTGATAGGATGTCTGACTGTCCACCTGATAGGATGCTTGGTTGTCTGTCTGATAGGATGCCTGGCTGTCTGCCTGATAGGGCGCCTGGCTGTCCGCCTGACGGACGTCTGGCTGTCTGTCTGATAGAATCTGCCTGGCCTGTCGGCCTAGATAACGCTGGCTGTCGGCCTGATAGGACCCTGGCTGTCGGCCTGATAGGACGCCCGGCTGTCTGTCTGATAGAACTCCTGGCTTTCGGCCTGACGGACGCCTGGCTGTGCGACTGATAGGACGTCTGGCTGTCCGCCTGATGGGATGTTTGGGTGCCCGCCTGATAGGACGCCCGGCTGTCTGTCTGATAGAACGCCTGGCTGTCGGCCTGATAGAACGCCTGGCTGTCGGCCTGATAGGACGCCTGGCTGTCGGCCTGATAGGACGTCTGGCTGTCCAACCTACTAGGACATCTGGCTCTCTGGCCTTCGTGGTTCCGTTGACGACCGACCCTCCCCCGCCAGACGATGGAGGACACGCACGCGGCCGAACTGAAGGCGTTGAGGGAGGAGCACGAGACGCAGCTGTCCCAGGTGCTGGCGCAGGTCACCAGCGAGACAGAGATCCTGGGTACCTTTCCGTGCCGTAAGTCATCGCTGTCTCTCTGTTCACAAGGACTCCTCCAGTCCATCATTTTTAGAGCTCTGTGGTGGCTTGTCCACAAGCCGCAATGCACAGACAAAAAGTGTGTAATGTGGGGTGATGTAAAGTGCGCGAGTATTTTTAGGCCGTTTGACTGTTGCGCCCCTGAAAGAACAATTGCCATCTCACTATATGTGATCTCAAATGCTTTCTTGTCTTGGTGCGCTCAGTGCATGACAAGTAGACGGCAAACGGCCGCCGTTGCAGCCGATCTCCTGGTATTGTATGAAGTACGCAGATAGGTCTCGTGTGTTGCCCACCTGTCTGTGTTGTGACGATCGACGCTGCGGCCACGCTGCATGACCTTGCAGGGCCCCTCCCTCCCTGTGACCTGTGGCGCCGCTGTGCCGGCGGCGGTCTGCTGCGCCGGCGCCCCTCCCTCCCTGTGACCTGCGGCGCCGCTGTGCCGGCGGCGGTCCGCTGCGCCGGCGCCCCTCCCTCCCTGTGATCTGTGGCGCCGCTGTGCCGGCGGCGGTCCGTCGTGACCGGTGATCCTCCCTCCCTGTGATCCGTGGCGCCGCTGTGCCGGCGGCGGTCCGCTGCGCCGGCGATCCT